TTTATGTTATAAAAGTAAGAACTCTTCTTATTGAAAAATACCACAGCGTGCACAATACTGGTAAAGAATGGAATCTCATTTTAATTTATTAATTTTCAATCTTAAAGTATTTTGATTTTGAAAAATCGTATTAATAATACACATATGTATTTACGCTCATACATAGGAATAATAAAAAAAAATTTCTTTTTTTTCAATAATTAAAATATGATCAGGGGGTCTTAAAACGTGTATTTCTCTACACTTTGTACTTGCTCTATGTGCCTCTACATAGGTCGGAAAGTAAAAATGGCTGGGCAGTCGAGACTTGGAATCGTATGCCGAATCGGTATTACCGATTATCGCGAGGTCGTATTTTAGCTGTTTCTCTTTTACAAGAGCAAGAAGGAAAGGCTCATTCTAGCGTTCTTTATCGATTTCCCGAAGTTGCGCGAATGCCAAGCTCACGTAAGTACCGTGGCTCGTGCGATAGTACACAGTGTGGCCAGATCGGGCATAATTGAGTGCATCGAAATCGACAACAGTGACGACGAACTTCCTTAGCGTCTAACGGAATGGTGGGGATAGCAGGCATACCCTACCGCACGAGCCACGTGTACGTGAGCTCGGCGCTTGCGCACAACTTCGGGAAATCGATAAAGAACGCTAGTGTCAGCCTTTCCTTCTTGCTCTTGTAAAAGACAAAACAACTGAAATACGATCTCGCGATAAGTGGCATACGATTCCAAGTCTCGACTGCCCCAGCATTTTTACTTTCCGACCTATATGTAAGGTATAAGGAAATTTATAAAGTATCATAATGAAAAAAATTTTGAAGTTTTTTTTTAGCGGAAATACACGTTTTAGGACCCCCTGATCATATTGTGACTATTGAAAAAAAGACATTTTTTTTGTTCCTCAACGACTAACAATAAGTGAATTTCAATAACGAAAAAAATATTTCGAAATTTTTTTTTAGCGGAAATACACGTTTTAGGACCCCCTCATCATATTGTGACTACTACAAAAAAACATATTTTTTTTTTGTTCCTATGCTATTGACATGATTGCGTCTAAACGGCTGAATGAATTTCAATGAAACTTAACATTTAAGTTTTATGTTCTCGTTTTAAGGTCTCATGATATTTTAAGCGTGATCAGCTCCCATATAATGATGATTATACGTTTTTAGTTTTATAATTATTTCGATACATACACATCATTTGTAACAAATTTTTAAAGCGATTTATATAAATCTTAAGAAGGATTAAGATCAAATATATTTTTCTCCTATCTTTCCTAGACAGGAAAAATTAAACGAAATCTTATGCCTTGCATACCTACCTAAACCACATAAAAAACGTATTCCACAAATATTTTAGAATAATGTTGTTCAAAGCAGTCTTACTCGTAAAGGGTTAATTAAGGGTTAATTAAAATGAAAAACCACTCTTAGCCAGTACCGTGCACGCTACAAAAATAGATTACTACTGACTTTTCCCACTATGTTTTTTAATAACCGTATCAAATTGTTACACACAATCAAATGTTATATATTTGACTTAACTTTACATAACAAAATAATTGTAACGATAGGTAAAAGAATAACGTGCACGCTACCGTTCAATGGAAACCACGGGAAGGTGGTGGTCACTTCCATCAGGAGGGAAATTTAAAAAATTGTTATTTCTTTGTAACATTATCACATGCCGTATATTAAAATGTTTTTATTAATGTAATGAAATTACAATATAATGAAAAACTAACTCGTGAATGCATTAATTTTTATTAATATACACACGAGCCATAAAAATGGAAAAATGATATAATTGTTTACATTTCCAAAGGATGGGATGTCGGGATAGGACGTTTGCGATTAAGCTGGCACGTTATGTCGTGCATTGTTGCTCTTACGGTACCGTGACGTAAGTGTAACAAGGCGCGACATTCTACGTCATAGCCACACTATCTACAGCAAGCAATTTCACTAACTAAAAATATACGGCAAAATATAAGCAAATAAATGAAGAAAAAAAATGATAGTTAGAGCAAGCAGAATAGTATTTACAGCAAGCGAAATACGTAAAAAAAGTAACAACGCGAGACAAATAGAACGACTATTTACATATTAGCGATGTCCAAAAAAAAATATTTTGGACATCACTAACAAGACTGCGGTTGCAGTGTAAGCGCTTTCGCGTGACGTTATGGCACATACATGCGTCACACCTTGTTGCGCCTACGTCGCGGTACCGTTGACGTAACAAGACCAGTCTACCACGACGTCGCATGAAAACGTTTATACTATCATGAAAACGTTTATACTATCATTGCAGCCTAATAGTACGAATTTACTAAAGAGCTTTTCTCTGGAGAGAAAAATCTCTCTAGAGAAAAGCTTTGTAGTAAATCGGTACCTTAATTTTCGTCATATGACGTAGCGGGAAAATTCTCAAAGTTATTGTCATATGTTGCGTTTAATCTTAAATTACACTTTTGCTTCTTAGCAAATCTATGATATAAATTTTTGGAATACAATAGAGCTAGATGATCGTCATCTACCTCCATGGGTTGAGAGTTTTCCCTCTGCGCCTTTAACGAAGATTTCACAACGCAAATAGAGTTGACGCTGGCCGAAGAAAGTTTATTCCGTTTCTTTGTTTTTATGTCAGGTAACATGGAAAACAATCTTTCTGCATCGGCATTGGAATTTGGAAGTGATCTAATTGTATTTACTAATTTCATCAATTCAGGAAATTTAATTTTATAGTCCAAATTTCGCGTTAATAAAATTGTTTTCCAGAAACCATCGAATTTCATCTCGATAAGCGTCTGTCTACCTTTCGTTGTAAATTCCAAAGGCAATACTGACCATTCTGTTTGCAGTCCTTCTTCGTCGAAACCGCCGAATTTCTTAGCGATTAAGAGAACATTTCTGAAGGAAATGTCTCTATTTGTATCATTTAATATAAAAGTTGGTTCAAAAACATACAACTTGCTAAGAAATTCGTCATCGATTGCCAATCGATGACAAATTTCATTTGCAGCTGTAATATAAAACATTAAACAATTTTTCCTTACGGTTTCTACGATGTCGGACTTGCCTTCTGCATTCAGTTGATGCAGAAAATTAAGACACTCTGTTCTTAAATTTATACTATTAAATGAGAGTTGATTTTCGACTACAGAAAAATTCATCATTCTTACTAAATCCATGTGTTTCAAAAGCTGCGGTTTCAGAAAATTGCGTAATATATCGCATAAAAGTTCTGCCGCAGTCTTTTGAAGCAAATGAATTCTTGTCTCTTGAGTTTGAAAGAAAATGCTAAATTTATAAAAAAACTCAAGAGCGTAATTTAGAAAATAAAGATATGCTTTGGCCTCTGGATTTTGCATCGAGATTAACAGACGTTCCCCGGACTCTGATTTCTCGCTTATTGTCAATTCTTGCAAAAAAAGCAATACAGAGTCCCAATTCTCTAAAAGTGTAACTACGGATGTATAATGCGATAACCATCGCGTAGATATAGCCCAGTTCCCATAGGTTTTTAAAAGGCAATAATTAGAAATAAAGTTCTATTGAATGAATAGCAGTATATAGACGTCAATTTAATATATTTCATTTTGCAGAAATGAATTTAGAGGGGAATCAAAAAAAAGGAAAGAAGAATATAGACGTTCTAATATATGGCATGTGATAATGTTACAAAGAAATAACAATTTTTTACATTTCCCTCCTGATGGAAGTGACCACCACCTTCCCGTGGTTTCCATTGAACAGTAGCGTGCACGTTATTGTTTTACCTATCGTTACAATTATTTTGTTATGTAAAGTTAAGTCAAATATATAACATTTGATTGTGTGTAATAATTTGATACGGTTATTAAAAAACATAGTGGGAAAAGTCAGTAGTAATCTATTTCTGTAGCGTGCACGGTACTGGCTAAGAGTGGTTTTTCATTTTAAATAACCCTTAATTAACCCTTTACGAGTAAGGCTGCTTTGAACAACATTATTCTAAAATATTTGTGGAATACGTTTCTTATGTGGTTTAGGTAGGTATGCAAGGCATAAGATTTCGTTTAATTTTTCCTGTGTAGGAAAGATAGGAGAAAAGTATATTTGATCTTAATCCTTCTTAAGAGTTATATAAATCGCTTTAAAAATTTGTTACAAATGATGTATATGTATCGAAATAATTATAAAACTACAGACGTATAATCATCATTATATGGGAACTGATCACGCTTAAAATATAATGAGACCTTAAAACGAGAACATAAAACTTAAATGTTAAGTTTCATTGAAATTCATTCAGCTGTTTAGACGCAATCATGACAATAGCATAGGAACAAAAAAAAATATCGTTTTTTCAATAGTCACAATATGATCAGGGAGTCCCAAAACGTGTATTTCCGCTAAAAAAAAATTTCGAAATTTTTTTTCGTTATTGCAATTCACTTATTGTTAGTCATTGAGGAACAAACAAAATGTCTTTTTTTTCAATAGTCACAATATGATCAGGGGGTCCTAAAACGTGTATTTCCGCTAAAAAAAAATTTCAAAATTTTTTTTCATTATGATACTTTATAAATTTCCTTATACCTTACATATAGGTCGGAAAGTAAAAATGCTGGGGCAGTCGAGACTTGGAATCGTATGCCGATTAACGCGAGGTCGTATTTCAGCTGTTTCTCTTTTACAAGAGCATGAAGGAAAGGCTCACACTAGCGTTCTTTATCGATTTGCCGAAGTTGTGCGAAGTGCCGAGCTCACGTACACGTGGCTCGTGCGGTAGTGTATGCCTGCTATCCCCACCATTCCGTTAGACGCTAAGGAAGTTCGTCGTCACTGTTGTCGATTTCGATGCACTCAATTATGCCAGATCTGGCCACACTGATAGTACATGCCTACTATCACCACTACTCCGTTAGACGCTAAGGAAGTTCGTCGTCACTATTGTCGATTTCGATGCACTCAATTATGCCTGATCTGGCCACACTGTTCGGTGGCACTTGGCATACGCCAATATTGCGTTATAGGGGGCCCCTCCAAGTCATTTATGTATATAGTTTACTGACAAAAAAGGACACTGTAGAAAAGTAATGTCGAGCACGAATGAAAGTGAAATTAGCGTGTGGTGGTAGGCAGTTCTCGGCCCGTTTACTTTTCACCTGGGCGTTGTCTCATCGAGAACGAATATCGCTCTCCGTTTCAGTTCGCGATCATGGGTGACAATTCTATGAGGTTAGGTGAGTCGGTGATCGATCAATCTGCAACCGTCAAAATCTACGATATCACGTAAAAATGACCCCTTTTTAACGTCGTCGTTTTACTACACGTAGAAAACTATGAAATGCTTAAGGCCCTCTACGATTTCAAGGCCACGTTCGCAAAAACCCTTAGCTTCCAAGAGGGTGACTATTTTATTTTGTATCAAACTAATACCAAACAGAAGAATTGGTGGCAGGTGGTCGACAGAGATGGACTCATCGGATACATACCCTCCAATTATGTCACTACTGTGAAGGTACATGTTCGATAACTTTACAATAAATGATCGAGAACCTTACAAAATCGAATAATTTTCAGGTACCGTCTCAAACGTTGATTGAATTTTTGGAGGACTGTATCGAGAACGTTAAGGTAGAGAGTAAAAAGCAGACTGGATCGTTGCAGCTGGACAAGCAGGATCTTCTTCTGAGGTTAATAGAAAAGAAGAGGCAGGCAGAGGCAAATAAAAAAACTAAGAAACAAGCTCCCATGCCACCAGATTTTGGAAACACCACGCCTAGCAAAGAAATATGTTCGTCTGTTTATAATGTGCAAGAAGGGGATGTTAATTCTGCTCAGAGTAACACGTCTTACATGACTGCTCAAACAACGCTGCATACTAATACTGAAAAAGAAGAGGCACCCGTTATTCCGCAGTGTCGGCGTACCTCTGTAAGTGATCAGAGAATACAGTCTTTACCGCGTCAATCGTCCTCGGAGGCTCAGAAAGTTCAGGCCGAAGTTCTTAAGAGTCCTTCTCACAGCAGCGCGCGACAAACTCCCAATAGCTCGCCTATAAAGAACAAAGCTTCGACTTGCGACATTAATTCCCATACAGCTTATCAACTACTGGACCAAGTACGTAGAAGTACCCAGTTAAGCTATGAAATGTCTAAAGTAGCAGTCACTGTAGTGGTTTCTGGACTTCAAGAATTATTGCCGAAAAACGTAGGCCATTATTTTGACAAACTGTTGCGCCAATTAGAAATGCCGTTCACGGTATCGCAAATGAGTATAGAGGAAACGTATGATGCGAACAGATTGAAAGTAATTTTCATAGAGCTCACTTCTTGCAAGGAAGATTCACAACAAAGAAACTGGATGGTTTATGAGGACGAATCTATTATAGTCGATTATATAAAAGAACTTACCTCGATATTGGTACATTATATATTATTGAGTCGAGTCATAAGTAATTGCTGTTTTTTTTTAATTGATTGTATTATCTATACTTTCCAACTACTGTTTTAATACTTATTTGTATTTGAAATTCCCTAAGAAATTTCTAATCCACTACTAGAACCAGCAATTACTTACGACTCAGCCGAATATTTTCGTAAAATTGAGTTGCTTTAACCCTAAATGTACAAGTAATTTATCGATTTTGCAGACAAACGCGGATGCAAATGTATCTAGGTATATTTTGCAACAAGATCAATACAATGGGGTTAATGTATTAATAGAGTATTATCAGATGGAGCCAAGATGGACTATTAGGCAATTGCTGTTACAGTCGTTCGGAGTAATGTGTAGCTTGGATTCTGTGATCTTGACCATAATGTTAAACAGCGTATTGCCTATGGAACTAGCAAGGTAGTATAAAGAAAATTATAAACAAATGTCCGTAATGTTCAATTAACGATCTGAAATCTATCTCTGTACAGAGACATGAGGAGTAATCCTAGAAACGTGACAAAGTTAAATTATTCCTCGTTGTTGCTTACTATGATTTTTTCAATGGGCGAACCTATGCCAGTTACTCATTTGGGTGAGTAAAGTAGGTAATGCGTTACGTTTGTTAGTTTATTCCTTTGTCGCGGTATTATTTCACTTTTTATCGCACCGATTCTTATCGTAAATTTCGTTACAGAGCAACTAGGGCCGGACTTCGTAGAGTTCATTTTGGATTTAATAGAGAATCCGCCCGATATGGATTTAGAGGATCAGATTCCCGACTTGTTCGTGAATTTGATATTGTCCTACAATTTACAGTTCACGAATTCGGAGAATATAGTTTTGGACGCTTTGAAGGAAAAAACGGTGGCAAAGACATTTACCGAGAAAATTTTGCTTCTATTCAACAGAGAAGGTAAGCTTTTCCCATAAAAGCGTGAGAATAAAGTTTTTAATAAGATGCGCCATTTGTTACAGAGGATCCTGTGCGAATATTCGATCACGTTCCACCGCCGCCGCATTCCATATTGAAACTATTTATTGACCTGTTCAGTAACGATATCACAGCGGGTCTCTTTTATACCAACGACGTGAAGGTTCTAATCGATATTATATTGCGGCAGTTGTACGACATGTTTCCCGGCGACAAGGTATCGAGATACGAAAACATAGTTCAGTTTTAATCGCGTGCGAGTAGCAAATGTTATACAGCGATTGCTTTTACAGCGCAGGCAATATCTGGAGTTGTGTCGAAGGGTGATTCGCACTTCCAGTTATAACGAGCACAAATATCGTTCGGAAGATTTATTGAAATGCTTCACGAGGTGTGTATTAAACGCGACGGGTAGCCGCGATCGTCACGACAGGGGGTAATTTTCGTTTTACAGAATATTTTGCGAGGAAACCGGAGAAAGCCAAGAAGACCAGCAGTCCGTACGCGAGATTAGCAACGAATTTCCACATTTATTCAAAATGTGACATTTATTTTCGCCCTCCGATAACAAAGACTTGGAGGAGGACGATTTGCAGACTCTTGTGTAAACCAAGACCCTGGTACGTACGCAAACCGAAGAAGCGACAAAGAACAAGTTACCGATCAGAAATCTTCTTTATTTTTCTAACTTCTATTTTGCATATATTTTGCTCAGCTAATGTAATTATGGTAAACGCACACGATCCGCAGAACCTTTAAACGCATGAAGATTATATTTTTCCCCATTTTAATCTTTATAGCGCTACACTTTAAGTAAGAATAAGTAGTACTACTTACTCTTCAAATAGTACTATAGGTACTAAAGTAGTACTTCGAGTAGTACTTGTACGTTTAAATCTAAGTAGTTACTACTTATTCCAGATAAAATGGAAACTACGAATACATTGATAGACCAGCGTTTAAAAAATTATTGTACATATGTAAGCGAGAAACTTTTATCTCATTCTAAGTATGAGGACCATCAAAGCACGTTGAGTCATTCCAATTTCTTTAATAGGTAAACCGAATTAGCTGTTAATGGAATCAGTAGATCGACTACACGGATCAAATTGCAGAGTAAAGTTTTGTTCCGATACGATATTTAAAAATGAATTCGAACACGTAAAAGTTCTCTGTAACAGTGGAGAAAAATTCCCCATTGGGAAAATAATCAATTTAGTCCCGATTACGCTCTCTTTTTCCTTGTAAACCATAGTCTAGTCCACGTCTGTACGTGTCCGTATAGTATTCTAAGTCATACGTTATTTCCTAATTTATGATCGACACACTTTTTTGAAAGCTATATATTTAGTGTAAATCGAGTAACGTAAACGATTCGTTTTGCGAGCTATCGCGATCGCGGCACCGGAATTTTCATAATTTCGAGAATTCTCGTCGCGTTGAAATTTTCAAAGTTTATTAGTGCCATTATTACATATAGTTATCAAACTTTCTAGTCTATTGCTAGCAACTCTATTTTTTTAAAAGTATTGTACCACGTTACGTTTGCGACTATTGATATGTCAATTACGAAGAAATCTCAAATTATTGTGATTATAAATCAAATGTTAAATGAAATAAAAAAAGAAATCTAGGCGAACGATCAAAGAAGCTTTTAAATAATCCCTTCCGATAACGCTGGTCGGAAATAGAAACAACGGTAAGGTCTTTTTTTCAATGGTGTTTTATTAACAACAATAAATACTGTCCATGGAAAACTTAGCAGGCGTGATTGCAAGTGTATGGAACACGTGATTTCGTTACTTTATAATTAATTACGATTCGCGTACGAAACAGTTAATTTGCGGCACTCGTTAAACAGGAGGAAAATCTGATGCGAGGCCATTGTTGAGACGCCGGAAGCCATTGCGAAGCCGTCTCGAGATCCGACGAACTTGTCTCTGAAGAACCGGAGACGCGTCATGACGTTAAGAGAAGACCTTTGTACGCTTTTGAAACACTGCTCTCGTGCATTGTATATTATTATTATTATTATTATTTTTTGTTTTTAGAAACACGCAGATAAATTAGTTTGAAGTAACGTGACCGTCGGCACATATATTGTCTTTGAATTGGCGTGCTGTATCACCAGTTAGGACGTTTATTCTCCAGTCATCATCTCCATAAATTCTGAAACAGAAAGTCATGGTTGTTCAATAATGCACTCTGTCCGAACGATTAATGTTCACGATAAAATATTAGGGCTTGTTCAAACAATTAAGAGAATAAAGCCACCAATCGATACCGGAGGAATACCGTATCGCAGGCTGCGTGCAACTATTTAAATAATAATGAAGATAATGATATATTGATTTAATCGCATTATCTAGAAACATGATCAAACGCTTTATGCAAAGTTTCGATATTGGGGCCATCAAAGCGTTAACAAGTAGCCGATTTAACGGCGAGCTCTCCAAAACAAACAGAGGAAAAATAATAATCGTATTCGTATATGCAGTTGGTATTGGCAACGTTACACGGAAGATAAATTAATGTTGATACGCGGTGCAGTTTGCAGGTTCGGCGTCGAGGAAGCAAAGACGAACGGGGAAACGCCAAGATTCGTTTAACGAAGTTGGATCGCGACGCGGGTGGTAGCTTGCATAATTTAGAATCGCTAGAAAGTCAAATGCGTGTTTCGCGAGCACGGAGAACTTGGACACCTCAATGATTTAGTAGCAAGAAGATTCTGAAAATAATAGTAACGGGCGGGCCGCTGTTGTTACTTAATAAATTACAAGTACGTATGACGGGTCTTACGACTTCTATGACAGGAGAAAATAACGATGAGTTTTATTACTCCATGAATTATAAATGCGTACAAACAGGTGTTTCGAGACTTCTTCGGTAAAAGAACATGAAAGAAAAACCTGTAAATATACAGCGAGAAGCAAAACTGAACATATGTACATACGACATTTTAACAAAAATATTTTTTTACTCAATATCTGCATATACATAGAATACAAAAGAAACAAGATATTTAGTATTATCTACAATCTTTTGGCTTTTCAAAACAAGTTTAACATTTGTGATGTCATTATTATTTCGCTTGATACAATTCTTTTACGTGTAGTCAGTTTTGCACAGCAACTAATTTTTAGTAAACATTTCAGATTTCGGTACACTTAATATTTCGTCCATAAACTTTCAACCTTGATAATTGCTTCAATACGTTTAGGTATACTTAATACTACAATTTCGCAATACTCTGGTACAATAGAATCGCATCAATATAACGTTATGAAATCATTATCTAAAGATATAAAGAATAATATCATTTTCCAATTAAAATTGAGTTTATCAACGGAAGTAATTGCTAGAAAATTTGCTGTTAGTCAGGGAGTTGTACATACAATACAGAGAAACTGTAATGAAGTCCCTGCATCTTTTGAAGACCGTCCAAAATTATTATCTTGTCAGGATAAGAGAAGATTGACAAAATAAAACTGTTAGAAATGAGATAGTAAGTGGACATCTCGAAGAGCATTAAAAGAAGCCAATTTTACAGCAATTAAGCTGGAATATGGAGCAATGGAAAAATGTAATTATTTCCAATGAATCAAAAATTAATCGAATTTCATCGGATGGATGTTGTTGATGTTGGAAAAAAGCAAGACGAACCTTATACCATGTCATGTGAAGCAAACAATGAAATTTGGTAGTGTGTCACTTATAGTGTGGGGGTGTATTACTGCATATGATGTGGTATTACTACATCGAATAGAAGGTACAGTGAACCAGTATAAATATAAGGATATTTTAGAAAAAATTTACTAGAAACAATTGAAAATATGCCAATATCAGAGTTGATGTTGTATTCCAATATGACAACAGCGTAAAGAATTTACTGCAAAGTCAACTATTTCAAACCATGGAATAGCCTGCTCAAACGCTAGGCATAAATCTGATTGAAAATGTCTGGGCATACTTAAAAATGAAGTTATAAAATAAATATAATGCTCCTCCAATAACGATAACTGATTTGTGGCATAGAGTGCAAGAACAATGGTATTCTATTACACCAGAGTATTACGAAAATGTAGTATTAAGTATGTCTAAATGTGTTGAAGCAATTATCAAGGTTAAAGGTTTATGAACGAAATATTAAATGTACCAAAATCCGAAATGTTTACTAAAAATTAGTTGCGGTGCAAAACTGACTACATGAACAAAAATTGTACGAATCGAAATAATAATGATATCACGAATGTTAAATTTGTTTTGAAGAGCCAGAAGATTGTAGATAATCCTAAGTATTTTGTCTTTGTATTCTATATGCAAATATTGAATAAAAAATTATTTTTGTTAAAATGTCGTTTGTGTGTTCAGTTTTGCTCCTTACTGCAGTAAACACCATAACGGAATAACCACAAGTTTGGTATGAATAGTTATTTTTAAAAATACTAAAGAATTCTGTGAGCGACTCCATTATTAAAACGACGTCCACGCGTAATCGTATGCCCTGCAACAAGCAACAGAAACGTTTCAAAGAAGATTTACCGTCAAAATCAACGGTGCCGGATCCATCGGAATCGATCTCCTCAATCATGATATCCAATTCCTCGTCCGTGAGCTGGTCATCGAGTTCTCTCAGAATTTCGCGCAAACAGGTAGTCGGGATGTAGCCATTTCCTGGGAGGAAACAATATTCGATACAAGATTTACAATTAGAATTAAATTATTATTTTTCTTCAGTACACTTTAAAAGTGAGTTTAAAACAAATGTGATTATCGTTCCAAACATTTTAATTAAACTCATAATGACTTTGTACTCTTCAATTTAGACAATTCACCAAAGGAGTCGTTAATGATTTCGTTTGGCGAACGGGGGGATGCAAGCGATAAAAGTTTGAGAAGCTGTAACTTATGAAACCGGTCCCTCTCGAGGATCAATTACGTCTCGATCTTGTAACATGATTTATAGATCCAGGAGTGGAAGATGAAGGCATTTCGACCGTGCAGAACTAACGCATTAATACACGTCCGAAACTCTTTGGCTTAATCGTAATTCACGGAGGCATTGTGACGAAATGCGGTCGATTCTTGGCCGTCGGCCCATCTAGGTCCGTGGGTTGCGAGACTTCTCGAATTCGGTCAGCTTTCATTCTCATGCGAAACGAGACGTCGTCGATGCTTTTACTACGTATTCCAAGAACTGGAGCTATTCCGGTACGACCGATATACATCTTTTCCTCGTTCTGGTCCCGCTCAGCTTTTTCTTCGCCTCGTACTCCAGTTTATCGCCAACCAAACGTCGATGGCTAAATTTCTGCACTCATTTAATCTTTTATAATATGCAAACCTCGATAAAATTACGTTAAATGACTCGTGACAGAATTTGGAACATTCAAAACGTCATGGTACTTTGAACTGAGATCCGTATACTAGTCTAATATCGTAAGACAGAGGTTTAAGTAGTTTACCTAGTTTAAAAGAAATTGTGTGTTTTTTTTTAGAAGGTTGAGGTCTTTACAATATTATTTTGAAACGCGACAGACACCCAAACGAACCACTTGACCTTTCGCCGTGACCCAAGAAATGGGTGAGAAAAAATGGAAAGGAAAATATTGAAATGAATTAACAGAGAATCGAAGAGAGACACGCAACAAGTTCAAGAACTCACCTTCTTTGTCATAGAGTCTGAATGCTTCTCGAAGTTCCTTTTCCAGGGCCTCAGCGTCCTCCTCAACGATGAACTTTGCGGCCAATGTGACGAACTCTTCAAATTCGAGGCGTCCGGATTCTAGAAATTAATCTGATTATATTTTGCCCGACTGTGATCAGAATCAAGGCCCCCGATCAATGGTTAGTTTACATTTCAAATTTACAATTCTGTCCAACCAATGTCTGACCCATTCTACTTACTGTCAGCATCTACTTCCTCGATCAGCTCGTCCAGGATCTTCTTGTTGAAGGGCTGGCCCATCAATCTGAGGATGTCGGCCACCATATCGGTGGGGATGCTCCCGCTCTTCTCCCTATCGAAGCTGTCGAACGCTTTGCGAAGAACTGGAAACATAATCATAGCATTTTTCGAGATCTTCGAGGGATTACTATTGGAGGTACGCAAAAGTTTCCATCGTTTCTATGAGAGATTTTTTTAATCGATATATTATAAATCGTATATTTTCCGCTATTGTGTAGCATCTTTTCTCACCATTCGCGATGGAAGGAACTCCGGTTGGGAAACGAGGTCAAGGAAGGAGAAGTATTTGGTTAAAAAAGGAAAAAAGAAAGTGCAAGATACGCGAGACGGAGCCGCAGTGGGCAAAATCCAGATAAAATGGACAAAATTCGGTAACTCGGTGAATTCTGCCGTAAATTTTTAGAAAATTGGTATCTCTAGGTTGTTTTGGACATAGATTTCAAATTTTGAATCAAAATGGTCGATTCAATATGGCGGACGGAAAAATCAAAATTTAATAAATTTTTTTGAAAATTAATATACCTGAGTAACTGGGCATGCTGATTTTGAATTTGCATTCGAAATTGTGGAATTCAAAATGGCTGATTCAACCTGGCAGAGTTCGAAAAATATGGACAAAAATCGGTAACTCATTGAATACTGAATGATATTATTTTAATATTGGTGATCTAATGTGTGTTTTTGGGGTCGCTTATTTCGAACATCAAATTAAAATTTAAAAATTAACTATGGCGAATCTTATATGGAAGAGATTTCATATATACATATAGTATATTAGTGATGATTTCTGGATGGTTAATATTGAACATTATCTTCAGGTTAAACAGTGACTGGATTTGGTTTAATTGCTGTTTTAATTATGTTTTAAAATATATGCGATTATAAGTCTTTTCACCACGACAAAGTAGATAGTCCAATATATTTCGCTCATTAAGTAATATAGATTCCATTTTAAATATATTCATTTGTTAATAACAATTTGTTATTAATTTTAATATGTTATTAACACATGCAATGAACTTAATTCAAGATATTTTTTATAAGAGATTCACATAAATAGCCTTTCTTGATCCTGGGTAATCCCCCCTTAACTGTCTACGTGAAAATACAGATAATATTATATTATTAATATCTTTTCAATAGGCAAAAATAGGCAAACGGGATTTGTTTCTTAATTTTAAGGATACTTTAAAGAAAAGATTTATCCTAGTTTCGTTCAGGCATAATAAGGCAAACTTATTAAATTGCGCATCGAAAATTTACTTTTTTATTCAAAATCGAGCTAATACGCTGGGCAATTATTAAACTTGTAAATAATTATTAAACATTTTTTTATCGATGCATTGTATAAAAAGCTATACTATAAGCAAATTTTTAGATAATTTTTTATGCAGCTCTAGCTGTATACGATGAGTTTGAACAGATATAAAAATATTACAAAATTAAACGGATGACCGTTAACGACAATACTTAAATATACATATCAACTTATATTTAATAACTTTTAATTCATTTTACTTGTTTTTCATAAACTTTAGGGTATTGTTAAAGACGTAAAATAATTGATTTCGGTGATCTAAGTAAAAGTTAAAACTCGATTTTTGTCCTGATGTCGGCCACTGTGGCGGAGGAGGAAACGTGGGAGCACGTGTGAGAAGTTGAAGGAAGAACAAAGAGGTTGGCAGGCAAGGCAGTGTTAGATAAATATTAGAAGAGAAAGGAGAGAAAGGGTAATGGATAGTCAATCTAGAAATGAAAATGGCACGGCAAGATAAAGGTTCTATGAAAAAGAACGATTAAGGGGAGACGTAGAGAGTGAAAAATTTTATAAATTACTCTTGACTCGGGTTTCTTTTTTAATTGCTCGAACGTAAAGATTCTGGCGAAGGTAAGAGAATCGGTGGGAACGGATCTCGGTCCAACTTTCGTCGACACGTCGAGTTGAGAGTCTCCCGACGATACGGTTCAGATTTAGAATCCGATGTTAATGCCCTTCCGTACCCCCGCGATTCTGGCTCGAAGCACCGTTGGCCTGATGCACCATCGTTCATACTAGTTAGAACGTTTATTTACCGTTGTCGACTGGCGACGATCCGCGCGATGAAATTTTACGGTAATTTACGCGTTAACATATACGTTGACCGTTGGAAAAATGTTGGACACCGAACTATACCGTTCCAGACAAATGATTTAACACGTAGGAGAACTTATCGAATTAATTTACTCGATACGGATACATTCTAATGTATAGTTTTTGTAACACGAGCTCGTAAAAAAGCAAAATATTCTTGCCGAATTCTACAAAGAAAATGATTTTTGGTCGCGCGAGGAATTATTCTCGTCGCCCTCCAGGTAATTTTTTGGTAACGAAGCAACAATTTTGCAGATAATTAATGATTAGAGAAACGATGTCCAGTGGTCACAAAATTTTGACTTTTTTTTGTTTTTTTTTTTTTTTGCAGAATCATCGGAGAAACGACGCAACAGACTTCTATTTTTCGATCGTCGAGTCGTTTCCCTCTGGAGAATCATCCTTCCTCTATTTTTACCGATCCGATTCCTGCGATCGAATCGTCACGCGATACGCGCTAACTCGGTTCCGTAGCTATACATAGCCACCCGCTGGCTGCCCTCGATCGAATCAATGCACAAATAAACTCTGGGAACGCGGCGTGTAGAAGCAGAGATAACTTATCCGGCCCCTCTCGTTCCTCGCTCTATTTTAATTTTTTTTTTTATTCGCGTTTATCGTGCCACGGTTTCGCTCTTGAAGCTAGATTTACGAGCCTCAGATTCCATACTCACGGTTACAGAACTCATAAACATCGTTTGTTAGCAATTTGCGTTGAACTCGATCGATGCAATGATACATGAATATGTATCCTAATTAAAATAAGTACCGTATTGTAACGTAATCCTCAACATGACGGGTTTCGATAAATCTTGCGTTACCGCGGCCCCAAAGATTCGATAACAGAGTTTCTTTCGTTTCAGAAATTGATGCCTGGCGCAGCGAGAACAAAGCCGGCTTCTCCTCTGCGTTTTGCAAGTTTCGAGACGATCGAGAAACTAAAGATAGTTGAGGCCGTAACGCGCCGCGAGATCTTCCGGAACGATTAAACGAGGTTTACATTGATGGAAGGGTCAAGAAGCAGAAAGGGAAGCGACGAGCGAGAAAGAGTGATACTAAATTTAGTTTGCGTCCAGTAAACACGATACCCGTTCGCTTTCGACGAACGTCGAGTGGACTAAAACACCCAGAAAGCCAAGAATGGCGCGAACAACGATCCGCCAAATACCGAATTCACCCTCTGTCGCGTAAGTTTCGTTCTAAAAAGTTGTTTCTCGCGCCTGATTGAGAACGTTACGCGACAGAGGCTCGACGACAGATCTATCGGTCGATGATTCGATTTTGTCGGGCATTTTTTAATACATCGAAATAAAATGGCGGATCAGTAGTCAGCAACTATTTCGTAATTCCAGCGAAAGTGTAATCCGAACTAACCCGCCAACTCCAACGGTATCTCGCGCTTGCAACGAGTATCTCTTTTCACCTATTAATTGTCGCGTACTGGGCATGACTCTTAAGTTTAAATATAGTCACGGTTTGGTAAACGCGATACAAGTTTTCCTCCGTTGATATTCGATCCTGGAGAGCAAGAAGGCGGATCGCGGGTCTTTTTTTAGCCCGCCAACGTCTCCGCGCCCGAATAGCAACTTTCTTCGCGCCGAAACGAACGGATACCGTACGAATTATCGGGAATTAATTACTGTTACGTACCAGCGATTTGTTCGGGGGGAAGTTCGTCGGCCTGTGAACACAAACACAATTTAAATTCGACGTCGTCTTCTGACAGGTTAACGTCGACGTTTCCGGAGAGATATTAATTCATCGATATTAATTATTCTTCCGTCGATGGTTATCCGTAGATGTTCAAGAATTATCGACGGTACTTTTGTTAATCCGATCGAAAGCATACTCTTCCGAATACAAAACCGATCGAAGAAACTTCGTGCGTGTTAACATCGATTAAAAAATTAAAAAAAACGTGCAATTCGCAACCACGATCAAATATATTACTCTTGGTTACACGACTGACAGATTCGCAATTTGATCGAAATGAGATAATAATCACAAGCTAAGGTTTCACAGTGCTCGGAATGTCAGCGATGGGATTTGGAACGCTTCGAATAAATAAAATTGTGGAAAAGTTGAATTACATCGAAGCCTTGAAAGTCTTAAAAATCTTACAATTCTAAAGAATTTCCAAAGGTTTTGTTCATTGAATAAATAAGTATTTCGTTAATATATTTTTCTTACATCATAAACATGTTTTCAGATTTCCTTTAATTTATGAAATTGCATGGACAACAGTGACGCGTTTACTTATGATATTAAACATTCGTTAAATCAACACTCGAGACTTTAAAAACTTTCAAGATTTACAAGAGTTTCTTAACATCAAATCTGTGTTGCAACACACAATAAGATTCAAAGTCCCACCACTGCTCGGAACTTAACGCAAGTAGAAATAACTGTGCATGGTCAGACGTCGAGCCACATTCTTTGTTCCGTCGGTTCGAGGAGTTTATTTAGAATCGTTCCAAAAAATTCGGTAACTTGAACCGACCGAGCACGATTGGGAAAACTATACGGACCAAGGGCTCTTCGAATCGACGGGAAGGAAGGAGGCTCGATGAAGGTTCGCCATCTAAGTAACAATCACGTTTCCAGGACCTCGCATCTCTGGAACAACAACAATTTCCACCCGCGATCTCGGCCGATTTCGATCACCGGTTAAGGCTGCAATCAATCACTGTGTACGATACAGGGTCAGAAACAATGTGTGAGACATAAATCACAGACGAGACATTGCGGCGACCAGTGTGAAAGAGAAAAAAAGGAAAATAAATGTGCGAGAGAAACAGAGAAACAAGAACGGTGGATGCAGGCATTCCTTGGCGGAAACGGGCGGAACTATACTTTTCACTCGACGAGAGTAAATCGTTTCATAAGTGAGTAAATCTAGCGTTAACGAAACGAATAATTAAATTATTAAATTACATTTACATTTTATTTATTATTTACATTACATTTACTGAAAGTTACAGGGTTAGGTAACGGGTTAAATACCGTCGCGTCTCTAGGAACTAATCAACGATGGAACAAATTATCGAACTCTGTTCGAAAGTATGGTTTCGCCCAACTTGGTGCCGCAGAAAGGAAAAACGACAGCCAAATAGATAATAGAAAGACAGAGAGTGAGGCGAGGCAAGACTACGTAATTCAAGATAAAAGAGAACAAAATTAAAAAAAAAAAATTACACTAAATAAGTATAAAGTAAACAGTAGGAAAACGTGTATGTTTACCAGGGCGACGACTTACGATATCATCAATAGAACATACCATGGTGGCGCGGTCTTTTTTACTTATAAACGTTTACTTTAAAACACTGTGTATACTACTGATACGGGAGGGAGGGTGTCGTCGTGTTCGCGTACAGGACGACTTGACTCGCGATGGGTGAGAGATTCTCGTCGTGGTTTTTACGTATGGTGGAGGTTTTGGCTGTCCGTCGAGCACTGTCACGAGCAACGGCCACCGTTGCGGTAATATTCGAATAGGAGGATATAGCGGTTGCGTGCCGGTCCCGGACCGCACCCCGCGACCTCCAGCCAATCCTGAGCTCTCCTTCTCTTCGCTTCGCTACTCGTAGCGGGCCTTAAGCTTTTGGAAAGGCGCTTGCCGCTATTTCTGGGATGCAGACGGTGCCGCGAGGCTCGAAATCAGGGCCGTCTTTTAGTTTTCGCCTTTCAGATCGCCCCCTCCCTCCCTCCCTCATTCACTCCCAGAACTCTGCGGAATTACAATCTAATTAATTACAGTACAATTGAAAAACGATTACATTTAAATTCGTAATTCAGATCTTTCGTTCAATTAAATTGTCAGATTTAATGATTGTTCTGACGGTCGAGGCTCTATTCTACAAAATTCGCAATACTTATACTTGTGTCTTACCACGCCGATACCCCTATATTTTCTTATTGTCGTAATTGCGAATACAGTCGCAGTTTGGGTTGTTGACCCTCAAGAAACATCGTACGATTGCCGGTTTGTTCTTTGTTGATAGACAAGGGATTCTTGAGTAGTAGCAAGAGAGACTTGCTATTCTGACTGTTTCGATTATCAAATCCTGTTGAACTGATCCTGATCTGCAAAAATGTTTTCTTTAAATTATTTTTATGCGCTCGCTGTTGTTTGTTTCAGGGATTCGATACCGAAAACCAAAATAAATACAGGTATTATTAAAAACGGATAAAGAAAGAACTGCGTTGTATAATATATTAAAGTGCTCGACGGACCGTCCTTTTCCGTGTCTCCATTCGAGATTTCGTCAGCAAGGTCAAGTTTCTCGAAGACTATCAAAGAAATGTGGTGGTTCAATGGATAGTTGCCAGTAAAGTGTCTTTTCCGGTCTGGACAGAGATTTAGGAAAAAAATAAACAAACGTTACCTTTTCATATCTTACAGCTTCTTGTGTCTCTCCTTTTCACTATCATTATTTTTCCTAAATTCGAGGATTGTATTTTTCAAATATACTTCTATAAAGAAACATTTTATTACGCCTATTAAAGTTTATCACCGTAAACTGTTCAGGACCATAAACTGTAGGCTTATATTAAATCTCAATCGGTAGAATGAAATACATACCCGGTTGCGTAATTGATGGAATCAGTTTGCCCCCCGTAAAAATTATAAGTACATAAACTTCGTCTGAATATGCGACTACGCTAACAATAATATTAAATTACTTTTATCCAAGATTGTAGTAGGGCATTGTGTACGATAAATTTTTGTTCAAAACATCTGTAAAGTCCATAAAAATAATTTAGTAAACTTTCAAGTGGTATAACTCTTGAACCATTAAGTTTAGGGCATAAATGATAGTGCAATAAAAATTATAGAATTCCGTTTAAGAAAAGGATACAATTAAATTTTTTAAGTGCCGTCTAATTTTCTCTCGTGACATTTTTTTTGTAGCTCTAATCGTTTTTCCCTGTACAAGAATATCAAATCGCTTCTTCTAAATCGAGGATCGACAACTGGAGAGATAATATGGTTATTAAAAACGCAACATTGTAATAAAGTGAGCTAATGTGGTTCCTCCGTGAGAATCACCGAGGTAATGTCTGGAAGTGGATTAACGTTTTTGGAGAAGGTCCAAACTACACGTGCTTAAGTGCCACACTGTACAATAAACGTTGTAAACTATTATTTATCGGCTATTCGAAACATTTAGTCCAATGGAAATCCCAAGATTCTTGGTAGATTACGACTCCCAATGTTTTGCTGCGTAATAATAAAAAAAAATAGTCTAGATTATGCGAATATCATGCGGCGATATATCAAACGAGGAAAATGATAGGTCTTTGCCAAATGCACACGTACGATCGCACCAATGAAAATTCCTTGCAATACGAAAACCCGCAAAATGATTTTTCTTATTGCCTGTCGAGACTTGCACTTTTCTTTTTTCATTTCTTTATAGAACGGCGCGACGTATGGTAAACGGAGCATTATATACAGATTCGTTAATTATGCCAAGAGGTACTGACGTTTTTAAAATAATCTATAATAGGTTGGTATCGTTTAAGTAAATGTTTGTATTTTCACTACTGCCACAGGAATAGAATATACAATTTGGCGAGAGATTTTCCTTCGGCGCGCTATACGCTGGCAAGACTCCAATTTAAACAAGCAAATAAAGCATTAGAATGATCCGCGTTGGACTGTTTATAATGGATTACAATCTGCGATTCACTATAATTCGTCATTCGCAATAAAACCCGGTTTAATTGATTCGTATTAAAATTATCAGCTACCCGCGGTGGTTAATGTAGTCGTTCGCTTTGCCAGAATGATGAATTTTTCAACCACGAAATGTTCGATAACAAGCATAATCCGTTGATTCCTCGACCTCATATTCTAAGCAGATTAACAAAAGCAGTAAGTGAAGCACGCAAGTATCGCACTTTTTCTTACAAACTTCTAATCGCCGTTTAACGGCGTATTTCTCGAGGCTAGTACTCTAACTGAAAATAAAAATATATTACAATAATTGTTTCATTTACACTGTAAAGGAATTAAATAATACAATTAAAATTACTATAAATAAAGATGATTTTATTATATGTACGCATTCACTCGTATCAAAAGGTCAATTACAGAATCTCGCAAAATCATCTGGCATAATAAGCACTTAATGTCACACATCCCCGAATTGCATACATTATTGAGAACCAGTCGATAACAGTGCCAGAAGCGCGCTCGTCGCACCGACAGAGAATATATAATTAACGGCTGGAGTGAACGTCTTTAGAATGTAAAACGAAGACACAATTACAAGCGCTAAGAACAAGGCATTATTGTAGAAGATAGAAAAGGTTGTTGCTTCGTAATCAGCCACCTCATTTTTCTTCCACAGAATCCTATAAAAATTTGAATGCATTACATCACGATTACTGTTACTCTAAAGTATCTAACACGTCGAATTACCTTTCATCCTTTTCTTTTTTGCTCATCTTTTTATCTTCCGCTAGCTTTCTGCTCATTTCCTTTGTTACAGCATCCTCTCTCTTTACTGCGATCTACAACGAAACACGCTTTGCCTCAAAGAATTGAAAAAACGCGGGGACAGCGAGATCAGGAGCACGCAATTTACAATACCTTGTGTTTCAGGACAAATTTCGTATTTTTATACGCGAGCGCGAGAGCGTACGTACTGGTTAACGTGACTAAAACGAAGGAAATCAAGTTTGCGTATATATCGATCAGGTGAATCCTCCAGAAAAGCCCTGTAACAGAACGATAGAGGTTAACTCGTGATACGCTCTATTTTCTTCGTAACAATTTACTCGTTCTCAAATCCATGATACAAACACACATTGAAATTTCTCAGAAATCGCACGAACGTTAACACAATAACGATAAACCGTATATTTATTAACGGTTTCGGCTTCTTTACTTACAGATGGGAATCGCAGAGACGATGAATGCATTGCCGTAGAACAACGCCGAGGATTTAGTTGATACGTTTCGCGAAAAGTCCTGGAGAAGAAGCTCCTCTTCCTTCGTAAATGCTTTTGACTTTCCTGACATTTTTCGTGCCGTTTTCTTAGATAGGAATTACCTTCAAAATAACGAATTGTCACACGAGTTCCACGCATACGAATTGTAAACCTTACACTGCCGACTCAACGCGTCTGCGCAAAGGCGAACGTGTGGAGGGCCCATGTGACAACGTGTCCGTAGAAACGTCATTTCAATGGCGTGTCCCACAAAAGCTGTCCGCGCATGCGCGTTGAAAATGTTATCGATAGAGTGCCTCAGTCAAGTCAAAATCAAATCACAGACGAGATATATGAATAGACCTTTCACCTTATGGACTTTCGCGGCCGAATCTGACTGCCATACCGACCTGAAAATTCGGAGCTGATTTTAGCGGCCTCTTCTCATGGATGGCGGTTAGTTGAGAAACTAGGCACTGAATTAGTATTGATGGGCAGCCAGCTGAGTGGGTACGTAAATACATGTGAGTTGATTATGGGAGGGATTGGAAAAGACAGTGGAGTATTATCAGACGGCAGACCCGTGCCGAAAGGGAACTGCCCCACCACTCACACACACTAATGTCAACCACCTTGTATATGAGTTCTGGCGTTTCGTATAGCTTCGTAGATTCGAGAAAGGCGGCGAATGTCAGTCTATCCTTCTTGCTCTCAACACAGCTGAAATTCGATCTCGCATATTCTCGAGCCGAGATTCTCGACTGCCTAGGCATTTTTGACTTTCCGACCTGTGTAGGCATATACAATGTATAAGCAATATACCATAATGAAGAAAAAATTACAAAAATTTGTTTTTACGGAAATACACGTTTTAAAACGATAATATTTTATGAACATATTTTAACCCTTTGCACTCGGTTGTCCCCTCTGAGGGGACATGAAAGTTTATTAGTGATTAAGGAGAATGAACTGATTTCACCGCAATTTTTTAAGAAACACATGTTTTCCTGTACTTTCCTATTAAAATGGGAAATATTCTATTAAAATGAGAAATATATCAGCCGTTTTTACGTTGGAAGTGGAAGGATTGTCGAGGATGGTCAGAGGCGTATGGTCGGATTCAAACACGTGGACAATAAACGTAACTATATAAACTATATTATTTAATGTTTACTAAAATTATTTAACATAAAGAACATAAAACGTAAACGTAAAAAACTATAAACGTAAAATCGAAACTTCATTCAAAGTCGAACCATTCCTATTGCTATCTTCGTTATAATCTAAATAAATTAACGTTCTTTGTCGGACAATAGAATGAATAATAAGCTACATATTCCAAATGTAGGCCAAAGAAACCGGGACTGCATTATTTGTTCCGACAGGAAAACACCAGGAGAAAGACGTCAAACAACATTTTATTGTGAAACATGTATAAATCAACCTGCTATGTATATTGGGAATTGTTTCAGAATTTACCATACCATAGAAAATTATGAGAAATAAATTTTTATTTTGTATTGTAAATATGTGTTCTTCAATGTCCATAAATACATATAAACCAAATTTCAACACAATGCCTTACTTGGTTCCAAAGTTGTACCATATAATATCACGACTCAAGGGTTTTTGTTTTCGCGAGAAAGTAGCGTCGAGTTGCTGATAGCTAACGTCCGAAAAGGTGCCGAGTGCAAAGGGTTAACTATTAAAAAAGACATTTTTTTACTACGCTTATGGACGTGCGTTCATATATTTATACTATTAATACGATTGAGTCTAAACAACCAAATGAATTTCAATGTAATTTTACATTAAGTTTTGTGTTCTCATTTCAAGGTTTGATACACGTTATTTGTAAGAAATTTAAAAAATGTAAAGTAATAAAATTATAATTATAAAAAATGATTAGGTAATAACCAACAAATTAAAATTTATTTATTTATTTATTTATAAATGGGTTCAAAAGTCATACATGTACAAAAAGGAAGCGTGCATACAGACGAGCAACTTAATTAATTTAATTAATTAAGTTAAGTTAAGTTTATTAATTTATTTAATTTAATTTTGTTTCATTTCTTATATAATTCTGCCTAGTGTACAAACATTAAACAGTCTAGAAAACACTCATATATTGAAGAATTCATAAAAATTCAACGTGTAAGTTATTCCAATACGCAGAAAATGAGGAAAAAATCGGTTTTTATTTTTTTTCACTGCGGCGCACCAGAATGAAAAATCTGAAAAAAATTGAGAATAATAGTAACAGCAATACCTGTTTACTATAAAAGTATAAAAGTAGTTCCGGACCTTCTTCAATACGTAATCGGCATTTTTCGACATTTTTTACAGTTTTTTATTTTTTACTACCTAGTTCTTCAATCAAAAAATCTGAAAATCTCCCAAAATATGTGCCCCGGTACAAGAAATGTCTCTGTATTGTTTTACATTTTTTTACTTAATAGGTCAACAGAAATTGTACAAAAACATGATTTTCGTTTTCACGACATTATTACCCCCACGGTCGAGATTTCAAGTTAAAAATTTGCATACAGAGTTTGTTTTGGATAAGCTATCGAATGACGAGGGATGTGTCCGATATAAACATATGTATATAATCAATTCATTTTCGGTAATTATTTAGGAAAGGTCGGGTCTCAAAGATTTCGATGATTTTTGAATATGTTGTAGAAATCAACATCTTGAGCAACTTTTTCCTATACATATAACCACCGCTCGGCCTTAGTTTCCGAGATTTTTCTTCACAAATATCGCTGTTACTACAATGAATTCTATCTACACTTACGTGCCTGTTATATATATACGACTCGCCGATTGTTGACAAAAAATCTGCAGTATGTATACGACTCGCCGATTGTTTATTGTTTCTATAGATACATCGAGGCGGCCGGCAATGAATGCGTATAACAGCTGTGCTTAAAAACTCGATTTGTGTAGCCGGCCGCCTAACGGCGGCCACGCATTCATTTTCTATTTCAATTTTCTTTATTGATATTATCAGAAGTGGGAAAGATTTCAGCCATTATTTCGACAAATTTAATTATTAGATCATTAGCATGATATTGTCGACGGAAGAAGAATTCACCTAAATAGCCTACATAATGTATTTGGCGAGTTCCATACTTCAGAATATTCGAACCTTTGACAACAATGCAGAACTAGATTTAGCTCGACACATTATACATTATTTGTCGTCGGTTGTCATGCCGACTAATACAAACAAGAGAAAAAAGCAACGATCGTGGACTGATGCAATACAGAGCCACAGATATGTACATATAGACAGAATTCATTGTAGTAGTAGCGATCTTTTTGAAGAAAAATCTCGGAAACTAAGGCCGAGCGGCGGTTATATGTATAGGAAAAAGTTGCTCAAAATGTTGATTTCTACAACATATTCAAAAATCATCGAAATCGGTGAGACCCGGCCTTTTCTAAATAATTACCTCATTTTCTTTCAATAATTCTCCATTGCAAAAATTCTACAGTATTCTTACATTTTTTTATATTTTAAAATTTTCCCATGTTATTAGAAAGTAGATATACAACGAAAGTTATACAATTTATAGTTCCTAGCATGTATAACATGTATATGTATACAACGCATGGTCGCTTCGTATGGAAAATCAATGAATCTTCAAAAAGCGCCCAGGTCCGATTTCGAGAAATGTAAGGTCTGTCAGTCACGATGGCTTTTGTCGTTTACTGACGATTCGAACGGTTGGCGATGCCAGACTTGCTTTCGAGAAATGTAAACGACGTCAGCGATGCAAGAGCGAGAAGGAAAGCGAGCATCAGCCTGTTCTTCTCGGCTCTTCCGAAACTCAACGAGCTCACGTACACGCAATTGAGCATAGTGTGCGAAAGCGAGGAATGAGGAGTTTCCGGGGGCCCGATGCACAGTCTGATTAAACTGATTTCGAGTCGCAAATACGTTCCTGCCGAGTTATTTTTTTAATAAATGATGTATTACAATTTAAAATTAAAAATAGAGAATTTGCGGTGTACGTATCAATGAAATACATCCTTATGAATTTTAATAATCTTGAAATTTTTAAATACTCTTAATCGATTGATTTCTCCAATGAAATTAATCGATTAATGTCCAATGATGGACCCTACAGCTTTAATTCCGTTAAAAAATAATAAAATTTATGTAATTTTATTTTCTGTCTCACTTCCTCTTGTGTTAATTTCTGAATCTGTTGATAACGTAGCGAGTGACACGAAAATGGTAATGGGGTCCCGGGACCACAGAAACTCCGGCCGAAAAATTACATTACGTGAAACGTCTATTCATATACCTCGTCTGTGCTTTCACCTTATGGACTTTCGCGGCCGAATCTGACTGCCATACCGACCTGAAAATTCGGAGGTGATTTTAGCGGCCTCTTCTCATGGATGGCGATCAGTTGAGAAACTAGGCACTGAATTAGTATTGATGGGCAGCCAGCTGTAGTGTGTGCGTAAATACATGTGAGTTGACTATGGGAGGGATTTTCGTGGGGAAAATCTTCGAAAGACTCCCTCCCACCTCTTTGGGGAGAGGCGGGAGTAGTGTGTGGGATTCCCCGCGGCCATTATCACTGGCGCGGGACCTACCCACTAAAAACCCCACGGTGACCCTTCCGCACGATTTGGGAGGATACCGGGAATCGCTCGAAGCATACTTCCGGTATCCTCCCCGTGCCCCTGCTTTGCGCCCACCCGCAGGGGACAAACGGTCCCCCCGGCAATCGCCCTGTCTCATAGCGGCAGGACGAGGCCACTTCGTCCTGCCGCCATCCGTCCCGGGGCCGCGTCTAGTGGCGGCTGCGAGCCCCAACTCGCAACCGCCCGCGACCCCGTTTCTACCCCTCGGCGGCCGGCAGCTAATGGCCGCACCATGCCACCGAGGGTGCCGCTCCGTGCGCCGGACCCGGACAGGAGGCACTGCCACCCCATCCGGTCCGACCCTACGCCGCCTGGCGGGAGGGGGGCTCCTATCAGGACCCCCCGCCCAGCCTGGGTGATGCGCCACGCCGAGGGGGCACTATGGGAGGGATTGAAAAAGTGTAGCTTCGAGGATTCGAGAAAGGCGGCGAATGTGAGTCTATCCTTGTTGCTCTCAACACAGCTGAAATTCGAACTCGCATAATCTCGAGTGCGCAGACATTTTTTACTTTCCGACCTATGTAGGCATATACACTCACAGCGGAAAGTATGTTGACACGTTTAAAAATCTTTTATTTTGGACTTTCCCCGGTTGTAAACAAAACACGTAAGGTTTCTATTCCTCATAATGCTTTGTCAGTGTTTCGTGAGATGGTACAAACAGTTGATATTCGAGCTTAACTTGGAATACAAGTATTTATTATTAAAACGTTCTTTAGTGCTGTGCGGAAAGTAAGTTGACAGATATTTTCGGTTGTATTTTACTCTAATTTGTTCAAAGTTTAGTCCTTAAATTACATTTCTCGTATCCTTCAACATTAATTGTAGTGTTTTATAGTTACATTTTATCATTTTCAAGGTAATATTATTTCAAAATGCAAAAAATTCGTGAACTCACACCATCTGAGAGATCACAAATATTTAATAGGCGTATGAAAGGAGATTCGCTTCGAAAAATCGCATCAGACTTTTGTATCTCTGCAGAAGGTGTCAGACAAATAGTAAATCGTCTGGAAAAGAATGGTACTGCAGAAAATCTTCCAAAATCGGGACGTCCGAGGAAGACCACAATCAAACGGGATCGCAGAATAAGAAGAGAGGTGCTTAAGAATCGTTTCATATCCACCTGACAATTAAAATCTGAAATGTGTCTCCCTATACAAGAGACACAAATTCGTATGCGAATAAAAGAAGCAGAATTTCATGGCCGGGTAGCGAGGAAACGACCGTTTATTAGTAAGCGTAATGCTCAAAAACGTTTAGCATTTGCTAAACAATATGTGAATAAAACGATAGACTTTTGGAAAAATGTTATATTCAGTGACAAGTCAAAATTTGAACTTCGTTCGAGTAAGAGAAGAAAATTTGTATGGAGAAAAGTAGGTGAATGTTTTAAACCCTCAATAATTATTCCAACCGTTAAGCATGGAGGTGAGTCGGTGTTAGTATGGGGCTGGTTTTCACTGGCTAGTGTAGGCAATTTACATTTTATAGAAGGTACACTAATAGGAGAGGTATATGTGAACATTTTGCAGCAAAATTTAGTACAATCAGCTGAAAACATGAACATCAAAGACTCATTTATTCTACAACAGGATAACGTTCCTAAACATACAAGTAAAGTTGCAAAGAAATATTTTAATGAAAATAATATTAATTTACTGTCATGGCCAGCGCAAAGTGCAGATCTTAACCTTATCGAACATTTATGGAACCATTTAGACAGAAACGTAGACGAACACTGCAGAAATAATAAAATCTTGTTCCAGAGGGCATTATCAAAAGCCTGGTTTGAAATAGACCAACATACAATTGATAAATTAATAAAAAGTACGCCAAGAAAACTTCAGGAAGTCATAAACAATCGAGGATATCGAACTTCATATTAAGTCCATACTTTCAGTTATTTCAAATTTTATTTTTTTACAAAATTACATATTGTCATCATACTTTCCGCGGATGGCTAATACAAATGTCAATTGTTTTGTAGCTAATAAAAATCATATCTGATTTATCATACAATGTATATTTTGTTACATACTATTAATCAATATTTGTTAATTGTTTACTTCCCGCAACTTGAGTTTTTTATTTAGCAGCGAAAAAATACTCTTTTGAAACTTGTCAACATACTTTCCGCGGCGAGTGTATGTATATGTTCCTACGCTTGGGTACAAAAAATACCCGCGATCACTATATTCGCCAAAAATACTAAGTATACAACTGGTCACCCGTGTTGATTCGGATATTTCATCCTACAACATGGTTGGGGACCAGAGGAAACAAAATAGCATGCGACTCACCAACTGTAGAATTCAAGCACCCGGGCGACGATGTCGCCTAGTAGGAGTCATCAGCGAAGTCATCAGCGACGTTAGAAACGAAGTCAGCATCAAGGTCAGCTGCAAGATCATCGTCGAGTTTCTCTGGATCCACAAGTACGATGATGAGATGTCAGGATCCTTTAAAAAGAAAGAGTAAATGTTTTTACGAAAAGGTTTCTACCGTATTTGAAAACTTCATGGCAAATTTAGATCAAACAATGTTTTTTAAGCGCACTCGGAACAAAATACGAAGAATACTTACATTTTTCGCATGTGGGCATCGCCAAATACTCTTTTTCGTATAGATACTGGTTTCTTGTCGAAACGTGTTCACAAACTCTCAAAGCATTATGGCGTCGCGTCTATAGCGTGACCGTAGTTTGACCGCAGTTGAGAGTCTCATGTGGTTAAATTGTAATTACGAGCTGTAGCAGAAATAAAACACGAATTTGTTAACAGACACTTATTAATATTGGATAAATGCATCGATGGATAATGACGAAAAGAAGAGAACCGATTAAAAATGAAAAATACGTTTGACCGTAGTTGAACGCCCCATGTGTTTGAATTGTAATTACGGGCTCTTACAGAAATAAAACACAAATTTGTTAATATGCACTTATTAATATTGTATAATTGCATCGATGGAGAATGACGAGGAGAATAGAAATGGTTAAAAATAAAAAATACGTACCTAATTAGACGCGAAGCTGTCAACGCACTTCTCACACCACTTTCCAGACGAAGAATGACGAACAGGATCGGACACGTCTCTCGCGCGAGGAGTGGGGAGTGGGGTGAGGGAGTCACGTAGTCCGTCTCGACTCTTGATGTGTATCTTTGAAATAAAGGTTAAACCTTATATCTCGAAGAACTGAAAATAAATAAAATTAAGACAGGAAGAAAATAAAATTAATATAAAAAGATATCAAACAAACAATTAATTAATGATTTATAATCTTTATACTCCTGTGACGTCACAATGAGAAGCTGTCATTGGCTCATCTAATATCGATCTGTTATTGGTTGCATATATAACTAGATCAATTAAAATATATTAATTATAACCATATAATGCGTAAGTATTAACTTTCAATCTAAATTTCAATCAGTTTTTCATATAAAAGTTTCTTTTGTTTCTACTAAATTTTCTAAAGATATTTATTTTAATTCTCACTAGATATCCAACCTTCTTTGACGCGGTGTCGATAACATTGAACTTGACGCAGTTTGGTAAGAAGTCTTCTACAGGCATAAACGAAGTGTAAAGTAGACGCCTAACGCGATATTTTTTCATAACACAGGGATTAAGGGCACAGACAATGCATAGTATAGACGCATAAAACAACAGTGTTAGTGTCACGCAGATCAGGAATTCATGAGTCCATCTCCAAGGTGAAGTCGAGAGGCCGGCGTCCGAGAATGTAAACATAACCTGACCGAGCTTTTAAAAGATAAGAAACGTATCGCTAACTCCTACTAGGCGACATCGTCGCCCGGGTGCTTGAATTCTACAGTTGGTGAGTCGCATGCTATTTTGTTTCCTCTGGTCCCCAACCATGTTGTAGGATGAAATATCCGAATCAACACGGGTGACCAGTTGTATACTTGGTATTTTTGACGAGTTAAGTGACCGCGGGTATGAAAAATACCCATGAGTTATATTTTTTTAGTGCAAGCTAGGGTCTTCTTGCACTCGCGTTTTTTAATGTTATCAATAAATATTACACAATATGATTATTACACAATTTTGATAAAATATATGAAATATGTTTATTATCTTTATATGAATTAAATAATTGAGTAGAATATGAATTAATATAATGTGAAAACATTATGTTCCGACCGATGCGGAACACCTTTCGCGATGATTCTCGAAGGTCCGTTTATGACACGGACGGGAGTGTTAGTTTATTTCGCGTTTAATGACCAAGAATATTTTAGAGTTTATTTTTCTATTACCGGCAATCTCATTTTCGCGATAGTAAAGTTTATTTCAGTCACTTCGAGTTTTCCATTTATTTTAGCCTTTAGAATTTCGTTTCGTTTAATAACCGACCGAATCATAAACCTGGAGCGGCCGAAGGGTCGGCCAAACCATGTGCGTAACGGTTGTTGCCGGGCACGGTCAACCTGGAGGCATCCTTGGCTGCATCGCTGGGCCTTCGAGAGCACCCCCATGCGTCCCATTGCCCTCACCCCCGCTCTATCGGGGTTGGCAAAGGGGCGTAAACCTTAGTGAAAATCGTAGTCTAAGATCCTGATTAGGGAAAAAGACGACCAATCCACTCGCGTGGAAAATCTTCGAGGTTTCGTGCGCGGACCCCGAACACTCTCGAATCAGACTAAACCACACTCGCAAAGAAGACACATCACCCATAGTCTCAATAAATAGTCGTGCTCACCAGAGCTTATACAAAGCAAAGGTTACAGTCCACACACATCTTTTGATAGGACTTCAGGATTCGCTGAAGACTCCTCCGCGTCGTTTAATCGTCGCTAAAATAATTGTCGACGCTGCGACGCATAAACATTTTTGGTCCTTCGAGCCGGATAGTGGTTCCGGCTACAATATACAATATCGCGCTTGAGTTGGACAGTGGTTCCAGCTATTATACAATATTGTACTCCATTTGGGGAGACATTGGGCAAAGACCAGTGGAAGCTAAGCCAGGAAGCAGATTCAGAAGGCGAATTCACGAGAAACCAACGAGCCAACGACGTTCCTGCACGAACGACAGCAGCCAAGCGAAGCAGTGAGCGGTAGTTGGAGAATCATTCGACGACGGTGATCAATCGTCATACAAGAAGCAGAAGGAGTGCATCAGCATCCTATCAGCAGCTGAGCAGTATCGCATCTAGCGTCCAGAGACGGCAGTATCGCAATAATCTGTATCGGTGAGTGCTAACGATTCACTTTCCAATTAATCTATCCCATCCACGTGTTTCGATCTCGACAATATGACACCCTCGTTAGAATCTGCTGACCTTAAAGCATTGAGAAGGCGTCGCGCCGCGGTTAAGGCCCAACTAACGCGTTTAAAGTCATTCCTCGCAGAGCAGCGCGAAATCTCGATCGCTGTATTGGAAATTCGCCAGTCCAAATTAGAGCAAATATTCAATGCCTTTTCGGAAGTGCAAGTAGCTATTGAAATAGCAGACGAAGAATCTGACCATACGCCGGAATGGGAGTCGTTCGAAGAATATTATTATAGTGCCGCGGAAACAATCAGCGAGCGGTTGAAAGAACAACGCGGAATTAGCGGAACCGTGTCCGCAAATCGAGTAGTAGAATCGCCAAATACAGTTAGACAAACTAGTTCACTTTTACGCAAGATAGAAATTAAGCCATTCGACGGCAATCCCGTAGAGTGGCATAGTTTTCATGACACCTTTAAATCCCTAGTGCACGATAATGACGAGTTGATCGGTGTGCAGAAGTTTCACTTATTAAAAAATGCTCTTCGTGGGGAGGCTATCGCAGTAATTGAAGCATTGAACGCGACAGAAGGAAACTATTTGGTGGCTTGGGATTTGTTATGCAAGCGATGCAACAAACCCAGAAAAATTATAAACGCACACTTGCGATTGTTGATCGATCTTCCGGAGATCACTCGAGACACACCCGGGAACCTCGGACAGTTAGCAGAGAAGGCTCAAGTACACGTAAACGCATTAAAGGCCATAAATCAACCCACCGAGCATTGGGATGCATTTTTAATACATATCGTGTCTAGTAAACTAGATAAGAATACTCGCCGCGCGTGGGAGCGTACATTAGAAGATGAGGAAATTCCCAAGTTTAAACAGTTCTTAGATTTTATCAATAAATATGCGCGCGGGGATGATCTTGGAGCGGATATCTTAAATTCTTCTAAGACAAACAACACTCATGATAGGTTGCGCCCCAAGGCTCAGGTTCGCAATCATTCGTACATATCAACGAACGAGCGACAGCAAAATTGTGTAATGTGCAAGGGGGAACACCCAATTTATTCATGTACCCGGTTTCTGCAATTGTCCGCTCGCGATCGTTTAAACATAGTTAAGAAGGCGAGACTTTGCATAAATTGTTTACGTCCGAACCATGTCGTGATTAATTGCCGATTAGGAAATTGTCGTAAATGCGACAAGAAGCATCATACGTTGCTTCACTTTCCGACCGAAACACCAGTCGGGACGAGCCAAATCTTATCCACCCCATCAACATCCGCGGAAGGCATTAAGACCACCTTGACCGCGTCGTTCGATTCGGAAGTATTGCTCGGCACCGCTAGAATCACGATTTTAGACAAGCACCATAAGGAGCACGCGTGTCGCGTATTATTAGATAGTGGCTCGCAAACCCACTTTATTACGCATAAACTCGCGGAAAGGCTGCAATTGAAGCAGAAAAACATAGATCTGTCGTTTTCCGGTTTAGGGCAACTCAATACAAATGCGAAGTATTTAGTTCAATCCACGATAAAATCGCAAACTAGCCCATTTAATGCAGAGGTAACATTTATTGCCTTACCTTCGATTACGGGGAGGTTGCCGTTGCGCCAGGTCAACCTGAGCGATTTCCATATACCGAGGCACGTACAATTGGCAGACCCAGAGTTTCACAAACCAGGGGAGATAGATGCACTTATTGGTAGTGCGTTGTTTTACAAATTATTAGAAACGGGTCAGATTAAACTACATAGACCCTCCGTCATATTGCAAAATACGCAAGTAGGTTGGATAGTTACCGGCGAGGTAAATAATCAGATAATCAGCAAACAAGGTAGAGCAAGTCAAGTGTGTCAGGTAGCTACGTCTCTTGATGCCGAAATTAGTAGATTTTGGACAATCGAAGAACTTCCGGAGAAAACTTTCTTGTCCGCGGAAGAAAAGGAGTACGAGAATCACTTTAGAGAAAACACAACACGTAACGAACGCGGACGATATATAGTTAGGTTACCGTTCAATCAAAACCGGGATCTTCTCGGCAACTCGAAGATAATGGCTTTAAAACGATTTTATAGCTTAGAGCGCAAGCTCCAGTCAAACTTAGAGTTAAAAACACAGTATACAGAATTTTTACGCGAATATTTAGAATTAGGGCATATGACGGAGATAGAGAACGAGCAGGATAGTGTAGGGTATTATCTACCTCATCATGCAGTGATAAAGGAAGCAAGCTCGACCACAAAGGTTAGGGTAGTATTTGACGCCTCCGCGAAAGGTAGTTCCGGTCTGTCATTGAATGATACTTTGTTAATTGGCCCGACAATACAAGATACATTGTTTTCGATACTTATTCGATTTCGTCAGCACGCGTTTGTTCTCATAGCCGATATGGAAAAAATGTATAGGCAAATTATAGTTCATCCAGACGACAGAAAATACCAAAGAATTCTATGGCGCGAATCGACGGCGGAAGCAATCAAAACATTTGAATTGAATACGATCACTTACGACACCGCTCCTGCACCCTTCTTAGCCACGCGTTCATTGAATCAATTAGCTAAAGACGAAGCAAAAAATTTCCCTGTAGCGGCAGAAATATTTACACGCGATTTTTACATGGATGATTTGCTTACGGGAGCAGACAGTTATGAAACAGCATTAGACATCAAGCAGCAATGCGTCGCGTTAGCTAGAGCCGGAGGTTTCCATTTGCGACAATGGACCTCCAATGACACAAGGTTGATTGCTGATTTGCAACTTAAAAATCAGCAACAATCATTATGTCTAGATCCGTCACAAACAAAAAAGACACTAGGCGTATATTGGAATCCAGCGAATGATCAAATTAGTTATTCGTTCAAACAAATATCGCTAGAGCAATCTCGCATTACCAAAAGAGTGCTTCTATCACAGATTGCACAATTGTTCGATCCACTCGGTTTGCTTGGGCCAGTAATTATCAAGGCAAAAATCGTAATGCAGCAATTATGGAAATCGGCTGTCGACTGGGACGAACCTGTTCCCCAAAGAATAGAACAAGCGTGGATAGAGATAAGAAACGAGTTACATTTACTCAATAGCTTTACACTTCCGCGTCGAACCGCCATACAAAATGCAGCATCGCTCGAACTGCATGGGTTCAGTGATGCTAGCGAAAGCGCATATGGTGCATGTATATATATCAGGTCCACTAACGAACGTGGACAACACGCGGTAAATTTATTATGTGCAAAATCAAGGGTTGCGCCCTTGAAAACAATATCGCTACCGCGTCTCGAACTTTGCGCGGCCAGGCTCCTTGTAAAATTGTACAAGGAAGTTAGGAAGGCATTGCATAAGATAGAATTTAAACAAGTTAGATTTTGGTCCGATTCCACCATCACGTTACATTGGATAAAAACACCACCACATCTATTAAAAACGTTCGTTGCCAATCGGGTGAATGAAATACAAACGGAAGCTCGTCCGGACAAGTGGTTCCATATCGCAACAGCAGATAATCCTGCAGACTTTGTTTCGAGAGGACAACTTCCCTCTCAGCTGTTGGAGAACACAATGTGGAAATTCGGCCCACATTGGTTAGGGTTAGATGAATCTCGCTGGCCGGTCACTCACTTAGATGCAATAGAAATTCTAGAGAAAAGACGCCCCATAACTCTAATTACGCAACCATCCGTAGAGTTGCTAAATAAATACTCATGCATTGATCGATTGAATAGAATTCTAGCATATATCCTCCGGTTTTGTAACAATGCAAAACGCAATAATAAAAAGAGTACAGGCCCGTTGTTAGTAGCAGAAATTCGAAACGCACATTTTCGAGTGATTAGATTAGTTCAATTAGAAGCATTCCCATCCGAGATAGAAAATTTAAAGAAAGGCAAGAGTATTTCGAAAAAAAGTAAACTAGTTAGCTTAAACCCATTCATCGACGAGAATGGGATTATAAGAGTCGGTAGCAGGTTAGAACACGCCCTGCTCAGGTACGAACAGAAGTACCCCATAATATTACCGCACAGACACCATATTACCGAACTCATAATTAGACAGGTACACATGAGACAATTCCATTCCGGGATGCAAGCCACCCTACAAACAATACGATTGAAGTATTGGCCTATATCTGGCAAGAGCATTGTCAAACAAGTATTACATAAATGCATTCGCTGTTGCAAATACAACCCCAAGACACCACAATACCTAATGGGGAATTTACCCAAAAATAGAGTTACGTATACACGCCCATTTGAAGCCGTAGGAATCGATTACTGCGGACCCTTTCTTATTAAAGAGAAGAAATTTAGGAATCAAACAAAATTGAAATGTTACGTGGTCGTTTTTGTTTGTTTCGTAACAAAAGCAATACACTTAGAACTAGCCACCGATTTAACGACAGAATCGTGTCTTGGAGCACTTAAACGATTCCTTGCGAGAAGAGGAAAACCGCGTCATATTTATTCCGACAACGGCACTAATTTTGTAGGCGCGAAAAATGAAATTAGACAGACGCTTGACTTCTTACGGGCTAATGAATATAAAGACAAGATGCAGCAGTTCCTAACACAAGAAAACATTGAATGGCATCTGTCTCCTCCGCGCTCTCCGCATTTCGGCGGACTTTGGGAGGCTGCAGTACGGTCGTTCAAAAGGCATTTGTACAAAACAATTGGTGACGCTATGTTCACGTACGAGGTATTCTATACGCTAATCGTTGAGATCGAAGCAATTTTAAATTCTCGTCCTTTGACACCTATATCCTCTGATCCCAACGATCTCCTAGCCCTATCGCCCAGCCATTTCCTTATAGGTGAGTCATTAGTGAGCCTACCGGAATACAATTTTGCTGATACGCCAATCAACAAGCTGTCACTCTGGCAGCATATCCAGAAAATCAAACTCCATTTTTGGAGAAGGTGGCAAACCGAATACTTGCAGGAGCTGCACACCAGGAGCAGATGGCACCTTGGAGACGGAGTAAACCTTAAAGAAGGAACTCTGGTGACCATCCGAGATGACAACTGCCAACCCTTGCAATGGCAAATGGGACGGATAATTGCGTTACACCCAGGCGAAGATGGCGTGGTTCGCGTGGTCACCATCCAGACCCCGCACGGCACGTATAAACGTGCCTTGAAGAAGGTGGCACCGTTACCAATCGAAACTAACACCTAGTTCGTCGTTATATGTATCATATGTATTATTTATGTACAGTTGTAGGATAATTAGGATTAAGAGCCTCACACTTCACACCCTCTCACACATTTACCCAGGTATATAACACATTTTCATTTGTATGTTTCTGACTATCTTGTAGTTATATTGTAATGTTAGGTATATCTTGTATCGTGCGCCACAGTTAGGTTTATTGTATATCCAGACATACTTCAGTCGTTTTGCATAACATAACCTATCACAAGTTAGAGAATAGGCATAGTATCCCGCCCCCGCGTAATAGTAATACAACACTACGTTAGAAGTTGATCGATTGCATCGATCAACGGGGGGGAGTATGTTCCGACCGATGCGGAACACCTTTCGCGATGATTCTCGAAGGTCCGTTTATGACACGGACGGGAGTGTTAGTTTATTTCGCGTTTAATGACCAAGAATATTTTAGAGTTTATTTTTCTATTACCGGCAATCTCATTTTCGCGATAGTAAAGTTTATTTCAGTCACTTCGAGTTTTCCATTTATTTTAGCCTTTAGAATTTCGTTTCGTTTAATAACCGACCGAATCATAAACCTGGAGCGGCCGAAGGGTCGGCCAAACCATGTGCGTAACGGTTGTTGCCGGGCACGGTCAACCTGGAGGCATCCTTGGCTGCATCGCTGGGCCTTCGAGAGCACCCCCATGCGTCCCATTGCCCTCACCCCCGCTCTATCGGGGTTGGCAAAGGGGCGTAAACCTTAGTGAAAATCGTAGTCTAAGATCCTGATTAGGGAAAAAGACGACCAATCCACTCGCGTGGAAAATCTTCGAGGTTTCGTGCGCGGACCCCGAACACTCTCGAATCAGACTAAACCACACTCGCAAAGAAGACACATCACCCATAGTCTCAATAAATAGTCGTGCTCACCAGAGCTTATACAAAGCAAAAGTTACAGTCCACACACATCTTTTGATAGGACTTCAGGATTCGCTGAAGACTCCTCCGCGTCGTTTAATCGTCGCTAAAATAATTGTCGACGCTGCGACGCATAAACACATTATATTAATCGTATGATTGAGTAAAGTACCTTACATCATTAATATAATTATTAAATATTCGTTTTATTAATTAATACATCATATGATGTATTTTATGTGCAAGAAGGCGTTTCGCGACTGGTCGTTTTTCAACTCAAAGTGTTAAAAAGTAATGGATATATACTTTTAACGTGTGAGTCCGGATAGAGGTGTGGGAGTATTATAGGGGAAGTGAATCGGACACAAATGGTTTTCTTTTCGTCGGTCTTTAGGACCGACCTTTTATTACAAAACAAACCAAAGAAAACCCAAATAACAATTATAATAAATTAACGAGACTGTTCAATGAGAATATTAATATTCGGCCTCGTGTCTGGCCGTTCCGCGAAGCTGGGTCGCCGAACTCGCAGGCTTGAGGTAGGCCAAGATTCCTATGAACAGAAAAACACGACTATGTGTTAGACACACGTACACGGTATACGTATCTTCGTCGCGCTCGTTTGCTCGCGCTCCTGGCTTCGTAATTCGAACGTATCGGAGCGGAGAAATGTAAACTTTCGTAAATTACGAAATATAAAAGTGGACTGTATTTTGGCTAGGAAAAGAATTAAACTTCTTTTCTTCGCCGATTCAGTGGTCGATTGCCCAGTGGACGGGGATGCAAGAGGAGGTTGTAAGGCTCCTAATGCACTGTTCCCGTGAGTATGCACACTGAGTCTGTGCGTCGAGTCGCACTGCAGTGCACTGCACGACCGTCAATCTGCGGCTTCTCTTAACACGTTCCAACAGATGACTTATTTGCCGAGTTACTGCGAGCCCACACACGTTGTTCACTGCCGATACTACTCGACGTGACGTTGCAGATTTTGAACTACGCGGGGGCCTGACCCACGACTCCGTTACTTCTCCGCACTGGTGCTCCTCTAAACGTTACACCGGCGGGATCTGTAGAAATAAGGAGGCGAAGACCGAAAATCACACGTCCAAAATGGACGTGGACCTGACTACAGTGAGCCCACCAGGAGGTACACCACGTAGGTGCCTCCCTTTTGGTGTCTCCTAAGCCGAAGGGCAATCACACAGAAGTATGGACGGTACCGCCGACTTCTGTATGATTCAACGTGTATACGTTGGAATCGACCTTTAAATTCCGCACAGGAGGGGTCGAACACCCTATTGGTGTATTCTCGAGCCCTCCAAAATATGCAGTAAATTTAAACTAATTAAACTCGATCGAGATTTGCTCGAACGAGAATCAGGTGAACTTGCACGAATCGAGATGCGAATCGTGTTTTCCAAGCAAGGTGGGAATGAATTTCCGACCTTTTCGAGCAAGGCTCGCTACACCCTTTTAACAATAGCAGTCTTTTCGGCTTTCTCGCAAGAGGATTTTCCCTCTTAAATCGCGATTAACTTCTGATCGAAATATGATCGGGGGCCGATGCGTCTCGGTCAGAAGTCGCCGTAAGAATGTTTACGGATTGACAGCCGAAGACGTCGCCGCGGTACTCTTACTGGTCGTTCCGTGGCGCTGTCTGAATTTCGGCCGTCTCTCCTTGTCACATTATTGGCGCACTACTCTCTCACGGTACTGACGTCACTAACACCGTTAGCACACTCGAATCGAAAGGTAATGAGCCGTTACCGATGCCAGAAAAACTAATAATACACACGTTTTTCAATCACCGTTCGCTATACAAATCCAATTAGAGATAATCTCTTGGTTATTGTACGTTAACAGGATTAACGGTAATTGCGGCCGAGGATAATCGCTCGGCATTATGCAATCTTTAAACACAAAGGAACATGCATGTTAATTTTATTTTTTTTTAAATTTACTTTGACGACAGAATCGACCAAGGTTAATTGAATATTTTGAATAATAATTTAACTTTATTTCAATTTGCAATGTAAATTATTTTATCATGAAATCTTTATTAAAGTCTTACATTTTGAACAATTAAAGGAGGGTGTTAAGAAATGCCCATTTTTGGCATCGCCCGGAAATGAAAAATTCATGCAGGATCTTTTAGAGTGTCTCCCAAGGAACAAAAAATGTCCTTATCACTTTCCCGAGAAACGATGGGAAAGTTGACAAAAATACGTTCAAAGTATGAATGTTATGATAACGTAACTTACGTATATTCTACATTCCGTCGTCTTCTTCTTCGGATATCGAACCGTCTTCGAAATACGTAGTAAGGAACTCAGCAGGCAGATGAATAGAAGCATGAAATCGAGCAAATCCAAAGTACCATATAATCATGGCTACATGGGAACAGCACCCAACAACGCGTGCTCCGACTTTGCATCCACATGAATGTGCAAGTATGGCTTCCAGTGCGGTTTTACTTTTATCAATTAGTACATATACAAAGTATTTTAAACTATTTGAGTGTCGTGAATGCAGTTTCGTTTTAAGTAAAATGGCGTTAATTGGTTACTACCCTTAATTCATTTGTCCGTTAATTTAATAGTCAGTAAGATTTATTAGTTTCAATTAATGATTCTTATTAATCATTTTTAAGACGCTTCGATACTGTCGATTAAGATACTTTGAACCGGGTGATAATTTCCTTGCGGATCGTGGCTTTCGATACTCTGTAGTGGAAACTCGGAAACCACTAACAGTTGAACAAGTTAATGAATCGAAATTCATTACAAAATATCAATATACTGTTGAAGTAATCGCAGGACGTATAAAAAGTCGTTAAATATTTCGAGGGCAGTTCGATATCCGAAGAAGAAGACGACGAAATGTAAAATATACGTTAGTTCCATTATCATCACATTCATACTTTGAACGTATTTTTGACAACTTTCCCATCGTTTCTCGGGAAAGTGATAAAGACATTTTTTGTTCCTTGAGAAACACTCTAAAAGATCCTGCATGAATTTTTCATTTCCAGTCGATGCCAAAAATGGGCATTTCTTAACACCCTCCTTTCAATCACAAATTTTTCTTGAATAATAATATCTTTCAATATTAACGTGCTCTGTTGTTGATATATTACATATATCAAGTTGAGTCATTTTAACTGAGAATAGATACCGTTTAGTTAATTATTAATAACCAGTTGTTTTAGTCAGGATTTTCAGGATACTTTCCCGTGTTCGTTGCCTAAGTTCATGCACATGCCCAAGTGTTATTTGCACGAGCGAAGGCAACGGGGTACGATGACTTAGTTTGTAACATTTATAATAATAATTTATCTGTGCGACTGACAATGCTAGTGTCTCGTGCATAATGCATAATGCGTAAAATGCATAATGAATTAGCTTTTCAATCTTATATAATCGTATATGTATAGAGTATATTTTAATAAAGACTATATTAGATATATTAAAATGTTTTACATAAATAATAAAAGTACGCAATGGGCACTAGCTTTGTCAGTTCACTGCAAAAACTGGTACGTACACAATTAGAGTATGAATGAGGTTGTGTCCGGGTGTCGGAGGAACCCCGGGGAGTCCTCTCTAGTTTAGGTCGCGCCCGGACATTGAGAATCAGAACCGTGGAGTGTTTGTTTGAGAGACTGAGTTTTGCATTTTTTTAAATATAGGGTTAGGTAGGTAGATAACTTATTCTCTGGTGTGTGTGTTTAAACCTAAGTAGGTAGGGTCAGGGCAGGACTGTCCACATTAGTAATTCGGGTAGGCGCGTTTTCGCGTGGCAGTTCTGTTCCTGTAGTTACGATTTCGAGAGTAGAAATCTTGCTGATTCAAACGGTGCACTTGTGCTCTTTGTTTCGGCTTTATTTTCGACTCCTCGAATCGCGCGACTCTTAAAGTCGCTCTCTCGCGCTCGCGGTCGGGATTAGGTCCCTTTCGAAACGTTCGTCCCGCTCGAGATTCACCACGTATGCTCTTGCAACAATTCGTATATTGTTGGAAGACTACGTATTGCACAAAATCTCGAGCCCGGTCTTTCGTAAGTTTCAGGCATCGGCAGGACCGCCGAAGAAAGAAAAGGCTCTCAAT